TGTGTGTGTGTCTCTCTGTCTGTGTGTGTGTGTGTGTGTGTGTGTGTGTGTGTGTGTGTGTGTCTCTGTGTCTGTCTGTCTGCCTGCCTGTCTGTCTGTCTCTGTGTCTGTGTGCGTGTCTATCTGCCTGTCTGTCTGTCTGTCTGTGTGTCTCTGTGTCTGTCTGTCTGTCTGCCTGTGTGTCTCTGTGTCTGTCTGTCTCTCTGTCTCTCTCTGTTTCTGTCTGTCTGTCCCCAGTGACAGTGCTGATATCAGCTGTCATTTGTCAACGTTAGACTCAGCGGTGTTTCTTAAACACTGTACTATAGTAATGTAATATGGGCTGATCGGTGCTGCTAAACCAAATCCCATTCAAAAATGTGGAAGTTGTGGTGAGCAGTGGCAGGCACCAAGAGACATATGACTCAGTGCCTGATAGATAGATAGATACTTTATTTATCCCGAGGGAAATTCAAGCATACAAAATACAAAACATACATTACATACATTAAACATACATTAAACTAAAAACTCAAAGTAGTAGTAGTAGTTAATGGTGACGTATTATACTGTTACAGTGCACATAATACTTTGTGTGAAACATGCAGCCATTCCATTCTATAAAAAAACAATCTCCATTTATTGATTGCATTTACACCTGGTTGTCTATTTATTCCAAAGTGTGTTTTGTTATGCCCACTTTATAGACTGCAGGAATGTTCTTGCCACATTATGGTAGAACAATATCAAAGGATTGTCTTGTTGTCCTCGCAAAACAAATAATAGTTGTATATAGTTATCCTGTATAGTTAAACTATGTAGTTCATAGGTCTATTTCATAGTTTTTGATTCCAGGTGAAGTAATGAGGGCCATCAAAGAAAATCTTGCCCGGGGCCCGCTGTTGTCTGGAGCCAGGCCTGAGAGCACTGTGTCAATCTGTTTGACTACAGTACAGACTGAGTGAGCACGGCAGACCTGGCTGCACAGAGAGGAGAGGTTGTTTTCCCTGCTCTTTTTTTTTCATCAGTGAGAAGACTGGCTGTTTCTATATAGTTATTCTTAATGTTTGCCACTGGTCAGATTCCACTTGAAATCAATGAAACGAGGCGGTAGGAACACTACCGCTTTTGTCCACAGGGGCCGCCAGAATCAATACAACATGAAAGTTCCTTGTTGCTGCTTTAAAATAAAATTGAATTTTGTCTCCCACAGTGTGGCACGTCATCATTCTGTCCCGAACACAAAGATCGTGTATGTAAGGAGGAGGGGTTACTCCGTGTTACTGTGGGGTGATTAGTCCTTTATATTCCTTATTTTTAAACAAAAGTATGAAATCATATCGTATCGATTTGAAGCAAGTCACATTTGAAGCATTGAAACCACCGTCCAAAGCTCAGTGACTTCCTGGAATCCTGTCTTTTCTGTAAGGTTGCCAGGCAACCAGACTCCAGGATGTCTCTATCCCCTTACTCACTTTGTGTATGGATTAAACAAACCAGACACAATGTAGGCCAATTGGTGAGCTTTAACTGAAGGTGTAGCTACACAGTCAAGATGCATGGTGATATGAACCTTTCCTAGCCTTTAACTCTTAGTCCTCCTAATTCCTAAGCAAAGGCCCCCAGTTGTGTGAACCAATGGATCAATCCAGTTGCTGTATCTTCACTCATATTTGACCCACTAACAGTTACCAGAAAAGTTTGTTCTGACTTTCACAAGGGTACGGCTGCAACCGGTGTTTCACCATGTTTAACCAGGACCCGCTCCTTCTGTCAATAAAAACAGCTCATAAGGAAAACACAGTTACTATCTTGAGCTGATTATGCAGTAATGAATCATACTGAGGAGAGAGGTATGGAGGTATGGAGGTATTGAGGCGCTGCAGTTGGACCTTTTTGAACATAACGTTACGTGTTGGTTGAACATCGCCTCAGCCACTGGCACAGACGATCTTTGATGCATCGTCATCCCGGCGCGTCCTGATGATGTACGCAGCGTGCGACGGGGCAGCCTGGGCTCCGGAGTTGGCAGTAGCGGCAGGCACACAGAGATGGCTGCGCCCACGGAGCGGTGCCCCGGCGGAGGACTCGCTGGGTGTCCGCGGACGGTGAGGTGTTGGTGGCGGCTCGCAGTGCTCCTGCTCTCCGTGTCCTCCCTGCCGACGGTCACCGCGCTGGTGGAGGGCCTGTACTGCGGCACCGAGGTCTGCTACGATGTGCTCGGTGTCACCCGGGAGGCCGCCAAAGTGGAGATCGCCCGGGCTTACCGGCAGCTGGCGCGCCGGTACCACCCGGACAGGTTCAGACCGGGAGATCCCGGTTTAGAGGGGGAGACCTACGAGTCCGCCCAGAAGAAGTTTCTGCTCATTGCGACCGCGTACGAGACGTTAAAGGTGGGTCCAAGTGTCTGTCAGAGACTGAAGGTTCATCCAGATACTCTGTCTGTCTGCAGGAGTGTGTTCCTATAACGCACAGTGAGTCCAATCATGTCCTCATCAAAGGTTGCCTCATGACATCTGGTGTGTTTATGGTCTGTTCACATAATATCAGGAACCTTATGGCTTCATACTGATCCATATTACTGCTACTGTATCTCTTCTTGTATCCCTCTATAGCTTTAAGTTCATAGTGTTCCTATTACAGCACCTTTATAATGTTCTGATAATATTCATGAATGTCCCTATGCTACTGTAATAGCACTGTGAGTGTGTTCCAATGTCGTATATTTTCCTTCACATTGTGACCACCAGGGTGCCCAGGTGGTCACAATGGTCACAAGGTTCATAATGAAGTGTCTCAGGGTCATTACAGGTAGCTGGTCAGCCTTTACGGGACACTATATATATCTGTTCATATACAGTCTCAGTGGAGGAGCTGTGGTCTCCAGTGAACTGACTACAGTTTACCTAGTTTTTCTCTAACTATAACATTGACAACTCCATTCCACTCAGCATCTGGTAAACTTTTCATACTAAATGCGTGCCTGGGTTTACTGAGTGAGCGGGGTAAAAAACAATGCAAATTTTCCAGGATTATTTTCATGATATTTGGTCATTTTCATCAATTTCCAGGTGTTTAAATGACTGGAGTAAAAGCTAGTCTCTAAATTTCCAGGTTTTCCAGAGCAAGTGTGAACCCTGTCAAATAGTTGTATAGTTTTCCTAAAGGGATTCCTGCTGTCTTTGTGTCATATTCTATACCTATACTAGCGACTGGTGTTGCATATTTGCATCTCTATAACCCACAAGTCATCTTTTTTTATGCCACTACTTTAAAGGACCAGTGTGTTGGATTTAGCCGGGTAGTTGCTGATTGCAACCCCTTTGCCTCACCCTCCTGTTCCAAGCGTGAAAGAGAAACTACATTGGCCGCGAAACATATAAAAAATCTCTAGAGGCCCTATTGTAGAGCCAGTAGTTGGTTTGTCTATTCTGGGCTACTGTAGACACATGACAGACTCCATGCGTCGCGATGACTTTCAATTTTAATTTTTCATAGTGTCATCTACTTTGTGTCTTTATAATATGCTTTAAATAATTTTAAAGTGACTGACCAATTTCTTACTTGTGAAAAAGTAATTAACACAGTTAACATTCTCCTAAAGATTCATAGTGTCTTTACTTTCTCTAATATTCTTCCATTGTCAATAGAATAACTTATGGAGCCTTGTAATACCAGTATGTTGATCCCTAAACTCATACTGTATCAATTCTTCTGCACTACTACAAGTTGCAGTGTCTATGTGCTACTCATGATTCTTTTTGAGCACAGAAGAAAATGTGGTTGGACTCTGAGGTAGTATAATCACAGGACTGATGCAGGCAGAGCTTAAGAAGACTGTTTGGTTTAATTTCTGCCACATAGGCACAATAGCTTAAAAATGATTCCCACAACAATATTTTCACCTCAAAACTGAGTCAAACTGTATGTGAGGGATAAGTGTGTTTTGTTAGCAGCTATGAAATGATTTGGGTTTTTAATGTTGAAATCAGGTTTGGCTGAGCTCCACCTGCAGGTCTTCATAACAGAAACCTTCAAGTAAAGACTGTCTGTGTGTGCAGGATGAGGACACTCGGCGGGACTACGACTACATGCTAGACCATCCTGAGGAGTACTACCAGCACTACTACGCCTACTACCGCCGACAGCTCACCCCCAAAGTGGACGTCAGAGTCGTCATCCTGGTCACCATCTGTGCCATCTCCATCTTTCAGGTACGATTCCTCCAACAGGTTCTAAAAGCTTCTCCAGATTTGCAGCGAGTCTTGCCGGACCACAGATGGACTGTGTGGGAGCCTAATTTATTCAGACTTTGACCCCTGACTATCTGTCCATAAATGGTAAACCCTTCTGTCCTCAAAACGATTCATCATCATCTAAGCTCCAAAACCAATGAATCCTACAAACAAATGTTGTGATTGTATTAAAGGCTGATACTGTATATCTTATCTTGTGCCACAGAGCTATTAAAACCACCTCAGTCAGCCACACTGGGCGACACATCCTCTATGTTTGATTCTGATCAAAATCAGGGAACATTTCTAACTGTAATGCTCTTTATTTACTGCTGATGTAGGGAGTAGTTTGCTATCATTCAGTGGTCTAATCCTTTATTTTATACCAGCTGTCACACAGCAGTTTTTACTTGCTTACTTAATTTGAATGTAGTGGAAGTGTGCTCTGTGCAACTGTGTTATCTTGGAAAACAGTATCGGATCGGGACTCGGTACTGGCAGTTGTTACTGTTAAATGACTTGGATCAGGGGCACTATTTGTACTATTATTGAAAAAAATCAAATGATATCCAGCATTATATGTGACACGCAATAATTAAAAAGATTAAATAAAAGAAAGGACAATCATCTTCTGCCAAATCTCCATTTCCTTCCTCTGTGTCAACCTGTCTGTCATTATTTATTACATATGAGGTACAGTCTCAGTCTGGACTTACACCTTAGTGTTAGTTGTGGGCACTTAACAACCCATAACCAGTTAACCCTTACTAAGTCCCACCCCTTTTTGCTCTGTGCTCCAATAGCAGCTGAGCAAACCTCAGTCAGAATATATATCATGCGGAACCTTACCTACTCACAGACGGGCTGTAAGAAGATATCGTATTGCGATGTTTTGTCTTATGATTGTATAGTTTCTCAAAAACCTCGATTTTCATATTTAAACCTCCAACCACTAGATAGCAGTTGTAAACTGAGGGCAATGATGTTGGATGTTACAGGGACTGTGATGCATACAAATGCAGATCTCACTGCTCGCAATGTATGACCTTGTTTACAGTATCACAATATATACAATATCGTACTGCCAGATTCTCGCCAACACACTGCCCTGCTCATAGGTGCTGAAAGTAGAACTCGGCTTTAACTCCCTGTCTCTCCTGCAGTACTACAGCTGGCACAGCAGCTACAACGAGGCCATCAACTACCTGGTGACGGTGCCAAAGTACCGAATCCAGGCCACGGAGATCGCCAAGCAGCAGGGCCTCCTCAACCGCACCAAGGAGAAGGGCAAGAACCGCCGCTCCAAAGAGGAGATCCGGGAGCAGGAGGAGGAGGTGATCCGCGACATCATCAAAACCAAGATTGACATAAAAGGGGGCTACCAGAAGCCCAACCTGTCGGACATCCTGCTGTGCCAGATCGTGCTCTTCCCCTACTACCTGACCACCTACGTGGCCTGGTACGTCTCCTGGGTTTATCGCTTCACCATCTGCAGGGAGGACTACGGAGACGAGGAGAAGCTCTACATCATCCGGTCAGTTCTCGTGACAAGTGTGATTTAGACCCAGTGTTTGCGTGCTTATACCTGGATGACACTTTTATACGTTTCTCACCTCAGCATCCCGTCAGTGTCCTCACAGCAGACTCTGTTTTAATTCTCAGGAGGTACATGAAGATGTCCCAGTCTCAGTTTGACAGTCTGGATGAAAACACCAAACAGTCCTACCTGGAGAAACAGCTCTGGATCAAAGAAAACTACGAGGTTTGTCTCTTCTTGTGTTTGTCTTTCCATCTTTTCCCTTCAACTTCATCTGTCTTCTGGTCGAGGGGTGGGCGGTTGAGCGAATATACCGGCTATTAGCAGTTGGCTGAGTCCATCGTTGGTTGGTGGGGTTTTTTGAAGATTTTTGTCATTTTATTTAGCTAATTTAATTTAATTTTTTATTTTTTTTTTATTTAAAGGAGCGCTTTTCTGAATACTCAAAGACACTGTACAATGATAATAAAAGAATTGAATACCAAGAAGCAGCAATTAGGTAAAAAAAAACAATATAAAACAGTACATTTACATATGTTAAAAACACATTAGACTCAGATTTTAAAAGCCATTTTGAAAAGGTGTGTTTTTGTCAGTGATTTGAATGTTGGAGGGTCGGTACAATTATGATTGTATGTTATTTAATCTCAGGATAAACTACAGAATGTGTAGTCGAATAGGTGTTTATGCATGTTAGGCTACTTGCACTTTGTTTAATCCTTAAGGTAAGCTTAAGTTTTACTGCCCTACGTGATAATACGTTGAATGTATCCCAAGTATCCCAAACAAGCTCACCTTTTTCTCTGTCCATTCCCTCTCCACGGGGACGGTGTAGTGCGCCCTGTGGTCTGTCTCAGTACAGAGCACGCATACACAGGTCTGATCCTTCTTACAGAACAGCTCCAGGAGCCTTTGGTGCTTCGGACACATCCTGTCCTCCATGTTGGCAACCGGCTCAATCAGCTTGTGCTTGGTGAACCTGGCAGAATGAGATTTCAGATGCTCCTCGCAGTAGGAAGTCAGACACACAAGGCAGGATTTTACTGCCTTTGGCCTCCCTTCCCCAAGGCAAACATCACAGAGGACCTCCTCCCACGAAGGAGGTGGGAGTGAAGAGGAGGGACGTGAAGGTGAGGTTTGAGGAGAAGGAGAAGTAGAGATTGGAGGTGAAGGTGGGGGTGATGTTTGGGGTTGCGGAGGCGGTGGTGGCGCCTGAGCTGTGGCTTCTGGTGACGGTGGAGTAGAGGTTTTGGGTGCAAACACAGGCGGGATAAGCGGTGGTAACTCCTCTTGTAGTGGCTTTTTCTCTCCTTTTTTCTCTTTCTTTCTCCTGTCCTCCTCTTGCTTCTGCTTCAGCTCCTCCATTAGCTGTTGCTTCTGATCTTTCTCCAAAAGCCTCTCCTCATCCTCCCTTTTCCTTCTTTCCATTGTCCACTTCTTTTCAGTCCCTTCTTCCTCCTCCTCGCTCACCTTCCCTTCCACACTCCTCACCCTGATCTCCTTGAACTGCTCTGCAATTTCTCTCAAGACAGTGTTAATGCTAATATCAGGCCTTTTGTGAAAAGACTTCTTACACATAGGACACTGGTACAAAGGGCTGGTTTTCCAGTATCCCAGGATGCAGCTCTGGCAGAAGTTGTGTCCGCAGGGGATGGATACAGGGTTTGTGAAGACGTCAAGGCAGATGGAGCAGTGCACCTGCTCTTCAGAAAGGTTCCCAGTTGTTGCCATTCCTGCACGGCGGAGAGGCAGGGTCATTTTCAGCGCAAGCAACCAGGCTCTGAAAGTGGCATCAATCCTGCTGTGATATTGAGGTTGCTGGGGTTAAGATGGCATGACTTTATTTGTGGTCATTTTCAAGCAAATTAATAAGATATGACAGGGCTCATTTATCATCACAACATGTCAGTTCTGTCTGTTGAAGGTTTTACACTAGAATATCAAGTCAAACTTTTTTCTTTGTGTAATAAATGAGCCCTGTGAGTCTTGGGGGAGTGTTGTCAGACTGTGTTTATTGTTGTTTTTTGAGCCTGAGCAAAAGTAGATTTTTGAGGCCGATCCACATTCATATTTGAGAATTAAAAAAATCGGATAATATGTCAACATTTTTGATAAGTATGCCTTAAATTAGACCAATATACACATTATACATAGGCTATATGCTGGGGGGTTATTTTACAGTTGAAAATAAACTTGTCAGTGTTCTCTAGTGGACAAACCATAAAATTGCCTACTACAAATGATTGTAGTAGGCAATTATTGTGTTGTTTCAGACAGTGAATCCAGACATTTGCGTCTTGAACTTCAAGCTAAATATACCATGCTTGTTTAATTAGCTTAGAGTGTCTGACTGTGAAGCTGAAAGTAGGTGAGTTTGACTTTTAACACAAGCAGCTCTATGCTTGAGGCCTAGATACTCATGGCAGACCAGATTATTATCTTTCCAAAAATAATGCTCGAGCCGGTGATCTTTCTTGCAGTGCTTCCCTTCATCAAACAATAATCTGGGTTATGGAAACACCTTAAGCCTTAAAAACTTAAAAAACTTGTAGCTACAATGTTTTAAACAGACCATGGCAAAACAAGTCCTCAGCTCAGGTCACAGCTCTTAAGCAGCCAAACAGTAATGAAGAAGATCAAAATATTAACACCACTCCCCTAAGAGACTTTCTAGTGCACATAGAAGCAGATGTGATGGTATAGAAACGAAAATGCAGGAGAAGACAAGGAGTGACAGAACAAGCAGAGATATGGGAACACTCACCAGAGAGCAGCTGCCTCAGTGCTCCGCTGTACACTGACACATGAGACAGGCTGTAACCACTGCCACCTCCAACCCCCCCACACATAGACACACACACACACACCTCAGACCTAAAATATACCCCCCTCCCTTTCTTTTTACCCCAGATACAAATTTATACTCCCTAGGCATGGACCTCAGAGGTCCAGGAGGAATAGCTTTAACCCTTTGGAGAATACCAGCAGTCTAGCCTGGGTCAAATACAGGAACAGAACAACAAAACACAACCATGCTACATTGCAGCAACCTTGCAACACTACAGGAAATTCCCGTTTGGTAAAGCTCATTATGTTTGGTTTCTTCTTCTGAGCTAAAGTCAGTGTTGATCTGTTGTGGCTATAATTGTAGTTTTGTTAAAGGCACAATACATGATTTGTGTCATTTAAAATGTCACTGTAGGGTTATTTTAATATATTGTAACACTTACCACCTACAGGTGGAGCAAATTTAGGCACTATGTTTACCAGCTAGTCACTAACTTTGTCTGTCTGTGTCATTAGGTGAAGGGCAGTAGTGTGCAGTGGCTTAATTAGAGCTTTTTTGCTGACCAAGATAGATGAGAGTGAACTATAACAGCAAAGTTCTGCCCAATAAAACCAAAACAATCAGCTGAAAGAAGCTAAAATGCTCCATTGGGCTGAGAGGAACGCCAGGGTTGGGTGATAATTCTCGGTGGGTTTGTCACATTACATCTCATTTGATCCATTGTTAATATAAAAATTATGATTAGTGCAGCTTTGAGGAGGGCAGTTAAATAATTTTTTCTGAGCTTAAGCGCCCTCTCCAGACAACAAGCTAAAAGACAAATCACAAGTTGAAAAAAATGGACATTAAATTCTGTATTTGACTTTGATTTATCTTTAATAGACAAGTTCAGAAAGAAGGTACAAAAGCAAACATTTTATATAAAAATACAGAACATATTATGGTGGGCCTACATGAATCCACATTAAGTTTTTTTTAAAAAGCCCATAAACAATTTCATAATTCTACAGTATGTGCAAACATCTCTCATTTGGCTGCCCAGGTCTAAACCTTGAGACATTATATTTATATCTCTTTAACTTCATATATTTAACATGACAAGTCTCCCCAGCATTATAGTTACAGTTAAACAAAGACAGTAAGGAAAGTGCCAGAAGTACATCATTACTCAAACTCAACTATTTCCTTAACGCATCCAACTGAACCAGGGCTGCAAAAAGAAGAAGCACAGGTCAAATGTTGCTTTTGGAATAAACCTCTCTAGTCCTTCGCATGATTTTACCCCAAAATATCTGTTTTGTTTATGTTATATACAATTACATAAGACTTCAAAGTATAAGAGAACTATTGGTTACTTTTGATATACCATTCTATACATCTGTACTATGTAATCAGTCAATACCAAGTACCATCCATGTTATATTTTGGTTGCCCCTATACACACACTGCACACACAATGATTGCTTTCAATGTATTGCTTCCATACAGTCACTATGAGGGTCAGCGATCTGTATTGAACTTGATTTTCCTTGAGCAAATGCAATAAATTGTCCATGTTATGAGATTTTGATATGCAAAATTACTTGCTTTGTTTTTATTTCATTATGTGGAAAGTTGTTTGAGGTAAAGTACTTTGCAAACATGTAAAACTGTAAAGGACCAAATCTGTTCAAAATTAAAAAAAGTACCTGCACTTTGCATCAAACTTTTGTCCTAAAGATGTTATGTATGTTATGTAAAAGCCTATGCTGACTCACCAGGTTTTTGACTGGCTGTCAGTCTCAGGCGTGTTTAACAGGGGTTATAACGAGCGGAGAAGAGTTCTTCCCCTCCTGGGTGAGGCAGGGGCTGAAGATTGGGTACAGACTCTCATTAAAGGTATCGACAAAGGTGTAGAGATGTAGACGCAATTTCACATCATAGAAAGAAATCAGTCCTCCTTCATAATCCAGGAAAATTCCCACTTTATTGGGTTGGGACTGCAGCATTAGAGGCAGGCGGGATGATGCCAAAGCCTTCACCTCTCCGTTCTTCAGCCACAGGCACCAGTATCCCCCCTCGGGACTCAGCTTGATCTCACCCTTGCGGCGGGCCGAGGCGCTGGCCACCCCAAGCGTCCAGGCCGTCTTGCGCCCCATGTCCACCTCCCAGTAATGTCGCCCAGAGCTGAGGCCCTCTCGGCTCATGACGAAGAGGGCGGGGCTGAAGCGCTTTGGACCCTCTACGTGGGAAGTCTTGCGCTCTTCATATCTCACCTGGCGACCGTCATCAGACACAACCAAGTTCCTCTGGGCGGTGGCAGGGTCCAAAATCACCTCACCTGGACATGACAGAGTAGAACATTATATAATGACCTTTAATACATCTCTTGTCTTTTGACATCAATAAAGAACTACATAACTTACATTTTCCCCAAAATCCATCATGACTGTCAAATAGTTTCTTGTTATGGTTTACCCTTTAATCTCCTAAGGAGTGTGTTACTGAATTTCATCCAAAACAAAGTGCTGGAAGAAGTAATAAGATATTTTACCTAAGCGAAAGAAGAAATAACATAATGTAAAAATTTAAGTAAAAGTCCTGCACTCAAAATTCTACTTCAGTAAAAGTATAGAAATATTCTCGCCAAAATGTATTTCAAGTTAAGTAACTTGTTGCTGGACAAGTTAAAACTTTAGTTCAGTGACCTCACCCACATCCTACAGCCTTGCACAACTCCAACATGACAGTCACAATAACTGGCTGTGCAGTGCTTTATATTTTACTGATTGATCATGTTTTTTTTTGGTAAAATCAATCTATTTATAATATTTAGTGGTGTGAGTACAAGATTTCCATCTGACATTCTATTATGGAGTAGAAATATGAAGCATAAAGTGAAAGTACTCAAGTAAAGTGCTTGTGTAAATACACACTGCAAAGTTGCAACACTCATAATCTGGCTGCATGTCTGGACCGTTGACAGTATACACAAGGTCCGGACTGAGCTTGTATGTGTTGTGAAAAAAGTGGCGCCATCTTGTGGACGATTTGTAGAACTGACCATAATATGAAGCTATGCTTTGCACTGCTCAAAGAATCTCATATAAGAAGAGTCATGATTCCCCTGCAACAAACTACTGAACACCAAATTCTGGACAGTTTTACTCACTTGAATAGTTCTGTACCTTCCGGAGCTCTAAGAGAGAGAGAGAGAGAGAGAGCAAAACATAGACAGAAGAAAGGAGAGGGAGGCCAAGTCAGCAAATAATTCAGCTGAAGAGTCAAAGTCAAAGCAGATGGCACGTGTGGGTGGTAAACATGTAGATCTAATCCAAAGCTGTAAATGCTCGAGACATGTGCTGCTGTCAGTCAGCTCTCTGCCGCTGCCTCTCCATTGATTCCTAGTGGATGAACTGCGGCCTCAACACCATCTCCATCTGTCCGACCATCTTGTATGTGTGAACATGTGAGTATGGCGGGGGTGGTTGGTGCAATGATGAGTCACTTTTCTATTTCAAAGCGCTTGTACAGTGACCTACATATCCTTGTTTTGGATTTTTGCACAGGAAGTGTAGTTGGTATTTCTACATTATTACAGGAAGTGTGGGTTTTACTGTAACTTTGCATAAATAATCCACACATAGGAACACTAAAAAAAAGCACAAAAGGTTGTTGCATTTTATTTTGAAAGTGTACAGTACATAGTAGTTTGTCTCATTTCCAAAAAGTTCTGCTTACTTTTCAAAAAAATTGTTGTGAGTGTAAAATCTACTGTGTGAAATGTTATTTTACAGGGGATGGACAAAATAACAGGAACATCTAACAATGTAATCCAGTAGCATAGTCCTTCAATGAATTCCACCCATATAAAGTTAATGACATCTAGTTATCATAACACAGTGAGAAATGCACTCACCTTTCCCGTACAGCCTTTTGAGCTCCTCCTGGAACTTATCAATGAGGCCGCTGACAGAGGAGCCTATGGTTCCCAGGTAGAGGTCAGTGTTGATGCTGACTGCCGACCAATCAGCAGGCTCGGGTGGGGGCGCCAGCGTCGCCAGGTTCTGCAGGAAATGGAACAGGAAGGTTATGCAAGGTGAGATGAAATTACAATTTAATGATGCCTCGGGGGATGTTGTCTTGTTGATTTAATTTATGGGGAAATAAATCTTGACAGTGTGCAGATTCATCTCTAATAATCTAGTGATGCAGACAAACACAGCACTCTGCACATTATCAGTTTGACAGAAAAATCAAAAAACAGTATATTGTCTAGATTAGCACATTTACATTAGAAGACTTACAGAGGTTAATGTATTTGCTGGCATACTCCCAACTTTGTTCTTAAAAACACAGTGTTTGGGTAGTGTGTGGCGGTATGCCTCTGCTTCCCCTCATACTATCTGGAAAAATTCTAAACTTCAAAGACGTCTTTCATGAGAGAAAATCAACATTTTATCTAGGTAAACAGTCCAGGAGAAATGCACAAGGGGAAACTTCTATAACAGCTGGCTCTGTTCACAGAGGCTTTTGATGTTGTGTCACAAATCTCCTAGCAACTACAGCTGGTGCAAGCATGCAGGTCCGCTAGATAATTGGCTGTGTTGATGTTACTCAGATAAATAATGTCAAATCATATATATATATATATA